TTCATTTTTTTGTCATTCTTTTCTAAACCTCTTTTGTCTCAGGCAAATTCAGACAGCTGTGTGAGATGGAAAAGTAAAGCTGGTAACATCTGCAGTATGATGACACTCGACAAATTGTTTCAGGTTTTCTTTCAGTTTCTGGAAGACGCTTTGCAGATGTCGAAGCCTCAAGGAATCACCATACTTCTCCCCTTAACCCCACTGAAATGGCATTCAACGTCTGCAAACACTGGCTCACTGCTCACCACACCCCACTAAGACAGGCCGTTACCTCCCAGGAAAACGTGCGGGAAGGGAGGCACAGAATGACTAAGTGATTATTCCAACATCACAATACAAGTCTGGAAGAGTCAGGACCTGAACCTGTATTTCTTGTGTCTCAGCCCGAGGTTGTCTTTTTGCTCTGTGTTGCAGCCTTATTCTTTCCCGTAGAGGAAGACTGGAATCTCTTAAGAGTCTGTCACTGCTACTCTGGTTGACAGGTGATGTCACCAATGAGGCAGGAATTCTTGCATTCCCCACATGAAAAGGTGGAACACAGCGTGACATCTGTTTGCTGGAAGAAATACTAACCATACAAGTCCTTAAGAACGTCAACATTTATTTAATATGCTATAAAAGAAATGGGATATGAACATTTGTGTCTGAACAATAATAAGTGGCTTCTTATACTTACATCGTGTGTGCTCATTGTATAATATATACACAATGAACATAATTACATTTGTACACAAACTAAGTACTGGATCGAAAACCTGCTTATTGCTGTACACACCCTAACTCAGCGAAGGAAAAGCCCAGTACCTCAAAATACCTACACTCCATTTTATTTAAGGAAAAGTAACCACTAACATTAATGTATATGCTGACAGAAGTGTGGCAGTAACTGCTGACATTGCAACCTGACCAAGAAATAATTACAGCAGAAACAGGACGTGTTTTACTAAGCAATAATAAAAATGGCACATTTTAAATATATCTATATGTATATATATATATAAAAATTTTACAAATAAAATGTTAAAACAATAAATTGTAGTGTTTAAAAAGTGTAAAACAAGTTTTAGTGGTGATATGTAAAATTAATCGAGTTATGCATCTAAAGGAAGCAAAAAAGTAAACTTATATGATCTGTAATTAAAAGAACATTAAATTCTGGAGAATATCAAATAAAGTTCTGACTGTAGGCTGCACATTAAAAAGAGCCTTTATTTTATGTGCACAGAAATCATAGCAGCAAGCTGGTATCAGGAGAACAATCTGAAGGTTGTTGAGTGTACGTGTGGGCCATTTAAAGCTCTCTTGGAATAAACATTTTCCAGGAAGTGATAAAATGATGCTCTGTGGCCAAAAGCATCAGAACTATGAATTTCATAGATTTAAAATATACTGTACAATATCTTCTCTTATGTTCATAGATCAGGTCCATACATCTCAGGCATGAGTTGTTTCAACAGAAGCCATTAGTGCTGAAAGACAGAAGAGATTAGGTTACTCTATTTTAGCAACGACAAAAAACTGTATCAAGCAACTCCTGGGATTAAACACAGCAAGGATTTTCTGACCTCATCCTAGCAGTAGTTATCAATGGTGTGGAACACACTAAAGTATCTTAGAAATCAGTTGTTTGCAAAATCAGTTTTTCTGATGAATAATACTGCTGCCAAGACATTTCGACAGCAAGAAGCAAAAGTGAGCTTTTTTCAAATGTACACAACTCCAAATGAGAGTCGGTTTATTCTGAGAGTTTCATCCTGTTGCACACAGCCATCTCCAAATGTTCCTCATACGAAACCAGCAGTAATAGGAAAGGCTCCAATTGCTCTCACAAACGACAGGCACGGTTTGAAGAGGGATGCTGCATTATCCAGTTGCAACACTGCAATGGCAGCGTCGCTGTAAGGTGTTCTGAAGTTCAAGTGCTCCACCCAGGGCTTGCTGCAATTTTGGTAATTGCTGAAAGGACTTCTATAAATAGCTTTTAACAGTTCCTTAGTAAAAACGTTTCTGAGCTTTGGATCCAGGTGCTGTATAACATTTTTTTATCCCTCCATTACTCAGTGTAAACGTAATGCTTAAAAGGTACCAGTGTTAGTGGTACACATCCAGATTTGTCTCTGCAGAGCAAGAGCCGTGACAAATAAAGTAGCTTGGTGTTAATGGGTTTTTCCTTACTCCTACAGTATCCTATGCCACCAATTTCCTATGCCAAATTCCCCTGGCATCATGCCAAGAGTATCATTTGACTAATTGACCGTAGAAGCCAAACATAGGTATTACCTCATCATTCTCTGAAACCTACCATACATTTTCCAGATGCTAACTGAAAACTTTGGTTGCATATGGATAGGGCTGATCCCACAGCTCTGAAGTTCCCTCTACCACACAGGACTTCTTGCATTTGAGAGACACTGAGTTCTCCCACTTTAAAAGACCCATCTTTCAACAAAGTGCAAAGCTCTGGAATACTGGAAGGAGAGCCCCAGAAGGGAAACACTGCAGGCAAGCAGACTATGCTTCATACATCTCCTATGTAGACTAGGTCCAGCTCATGGCATGAATTTGTTTTGGAGCTCCAAGAAAACAACCAACAGCGGGACCGAGTGCAGTGAAGAAATGTGGAATGTACATGCACATAGTTGAATACTTTTCCCAGTACTGAACAGCCAAAAGGGGCTTATTTTAAGTTCTGGAACCCTTGCTTCATTACAGCGAGGTGTGTGTAGCGTTGGTTGTACAAGTGCCATCCCAGGTGCTTCGTTTTGTCATAAGCAATTAAGGGCTATTTGTAGAATCAACTTAACCCAGAAACGTTACAGCTGCAGTATTATCCACGAGGATACTCCACGCCGTGGGATGTCACGGCTTGGGCGTTAAGTTACAAAGCACATCACTGCACGAGCGCTTCGCTTTTCCTAATCTCATGTTTAGCATAAATCCTTAAAAAAAAGGAATTTGCTGATCTGGTGATTGCAGCTGATGACAAGAGCTGGAAGTGCGATTGGTAATGAATTTCTGGTGACGTTGTAGGTTGCCTCCCTTTTTAAGACAGGCGTGCTGTGGCCACGGGCAGAACTCAGCAGTGCAGCTGCAGTTTCACTGACCTGAAACTGAGTTGATGGGCTCATGTTTGTCCTGTTTACAAAGCAGACGCGTGATAAAGGCGTGTGCATTTATACAGTGAAATGGAAAAGCATTAACACAAATCAGCATTTCCAGAAAAAATACCATAAAAATAGTCCTACTTAATGTTTTTAAATAGTTCTGTAATAAAACTTTTAAATAAAAGTACAAAAATCCAAGCTAAATCTAATCATGACAGACCACATCCATCAGGAAGCCACCAACACAGGTGTCAGTACTGAATGCAAAGATGCATTTTCCACTCTCTCAAAAGGAGAAAAAGACAATAATTTCTTTATTGAAGAATATAAACAGTTTCCTGGCCAGAGCTCATACAGGAAAGGTATCTGTGATTAATAAGTCTAATTTTGCTACGATGAAAGCTTGGCAATACAGATTAGGACAGTAAATAAACAAACAAAAATGCTAAATGACTGAAAACGTCTGGATTTTGAAGTTTTCTTCGGTTAAGTTAGCTATGGCATTAAAACAAAGCTCATTCTTTTAGTAGAAAGCTTATTTAAATAGGTACTTCCTGAGAACAAAGGAATGTGGATTGGTTTAAATGCTGGTAAAGTGCTGAAGCATTCACATTGCCATCCTATTCATTTCTTTAAACACTTGTATAAACAAATATGTTTACTTTTATTTCCATTTCCTTTCATTCCACAGGTGACACTACAGGTAGGAACACATAAATCTAGCCTAACTCATGCTTTCTAACTTCGTTCCTAGAAGAAATCACCTACTATGACAAGGGGAGAGAAACTACATAGGGCTATCTCTACAGAAAGAAAGAAAATGAAGTTTTCTAAGTGTTACATTTCTTCTACCCTCCTTTTTCCCTTCCTGTTTGTCATGCCTCAGTCATCGCTGTCTTGAGCCACAAACTCTCCGGGCCATTAGACCATTCCCTCCTACGCATCACTAACAGACCATGACTGAAGCATCAAGATTCATTTGCACCTGAGCACTGAGGCTCATACCCTGACTGTAACAGCTTAGGCCTCCCTAATCCAAAGGGCTATTATCTTGCCAGTTGTGGAGAATGTGCTTGATAAGCCAATTAGGCCTTTCTCATTGAATTTGGATAGAGAATGCATTACTTGCAAGCAAATCAATACATGTATTTGTTTGCTTTCTGGTCGGCAGATATTAAACATTGCAGGTAACTTTGTCTTGCCAAGTATTGTCTACAGATGTGTCTCGGAAAAACAACTAGAGCACACATACTCAGAAAAATCTTAGGAAAATGGCAGGAGGGGTGGGAAAAGAAGACGTACTTCTCTGTAACTATACACACATGAAATGTGATCCTTCTGTGAGCTGTGTCTGTGTAGATGTAGCTGGTGACAGTGACGACTCTGGTGAAGAAGGCAAACTTTTCACTGCGAATCATACAGCAAGACAAATAAGAATACAAGTTACAGCAGGCATGACTTCAAAAGCCATAATAAATATAAGCTTGAAAATCACCATTTCAAGCCATAATAAATATAAACAGAACCAAACGGAAGTTACATAAGTAAAGACTTAAAATCTGATCAGCACAATGGGCACAAGTTCAGGGGAGGGCATTGCTGTGCTCAAGAAACATCACTGGGGCTTGTAAGTGACTAGGAGAACATCTAAGGAACAGACAACTGACACATGAATGCTGATGGGCTATTTATGTTGCAAAGAGAGAGAGAAAAAAAAAGGTAAAATTTAACCAGTCAGGATACTCCCAGCCCCACCTTTATATCCCAGCTCAGATTAACTAAGCATTTTTTATTCTGCTGAGCACTATAAAATGTATTTACAGGTTCTGGTTTTGGTTATTAAGTCATGGAAAGGATTGCTGACTGCACTACAAAGGTCCAGGTCACCTTTTCTATCCATAAATTAAACCATTTGGCTTACTTAACCATTTCCATCACCAAATGTCCTAATAATGCCTTAAATTCTATCCTCTTCCTTCCCCCTCCTCTACACACTCCCCTCTTTTTCTCTCCTTGCAAACAATTTTGCTTTACTCCCGCCTTGTCTTCTTACAAAAAGTAGTACACTACCAGTTGTTTTACCAGTCAGCTCATGTTTTCTGATTCTTCATCTTTGCTCACTCCTGAAAACATGACCAAACTTTTGATTTTTTTTGGTCTTGTACTTGCTAGCTCCAACTCTACTAGATATATTGGAAACTCTCAAGGATTCCTCAATCTTGGGCATACCTGAGGCCATCCATTAGCAAGGAGGTAAGGGTAAATAATCTGTACATATCCAGGACTGAGATGCTGTTCTACAGGATGAATAGGGAAGGATGTGCTCCAACCAACCACTATAGTATGACTCAATTTCTGGCAATAGTTATTTAATTCCCTGAATTAAATGCAACCATAAAATCTACGTTAAAACGTCAGAAAAATGGAATTTCTGTAGTTGTCCGCTGGGAAACTATTTTTCTCTACATAATAAAACCATACACTCGACATCTAGAGCGGCTCAGCACTTTCAATTCACAAGGGTTTCAGAGCTTCAAAAGACATGATCAAAATGAAATAAGGTTTTACATAGTTACTGTGTAAGTTGTGCTTCAGTCAAACTCTTTTCCATACCTGCTGTTGCCTGATCTCCTTTTGAAGACGGTGCTGCTAATTCAAATGAAGAAATAATCCCTCTTTGCTCTTGAACACTAACTACTTCACTTTCTTCTGAGCTGGTTTTGGGTTTGTGGTTTGTAACTGTGGTCACACTCTGCAAGCTGGTTAAAAAAAGCGCAGCGTTTAGAACTCACTCTAACTTAATTTCAGGTGTTAACCACTAAGTATGGGAGTTACAATTTAATTTTCTTCTGTTAATAGAAAAAAGTTGCAACTTGCAAGTTTGTGTAATCTAAATTAAGCACGTATTTTCATAGAATCATAGAATGGTTAGGGCTGGAAGGGACCTTCAAAGGTCATCTAGTCCAACCCCCCTGCAAGGAACAGGGATATCTCCAACTAGATCAGGTTGCTCAGGGCCTCATCCAACCGGGCCTTGAACGTCTCCAGGGATGGAGCATCCACCACCTCTCTGGGCAACCTGTTCCAGTGTTCTACAACTCTCACGGTAAAAAATTTTTTCCTAATATCCAACCTGAATCTACCTCCCTCTATTTTAAAACCATTACCCCTTGTCCTATCACAACTGGCCCTCCTGAACAGCCTCTCCCCATCTTTCTTGTAGGCCCCCTTGAGGTACTGGAAGACCGCTATAAGGTCACCCCGGAGCCTCCTCTTCTCCAGGCTGAACAGCCCCAACTCTTTCAGCCTGTCCTCATAGGAAAGGTGCTCCAGCCCTCTTTTGAAACCCTTCTACCTTGTAAACTTGGACTTAAAAAAAAAATTCCTGCCAACTGAATTCCTTTTCTTTACATACTCATGCAGTTTCCTCCTGCATGGTATCTATTTTGCTGTAGGACGCTACGGGAGAGTTATGACCCAAGGCAAGGACTCACTTAGGATCTGCAGTGCAATTCACAATAAAGTTATGAATCCTTTCAGAGGAATACCTGAGACACAATATACTTCTAATTCCGCAATACTCCAAAACAGTGAAGTTCCCTGGATCGAGCTTTTATAATAAACTGATACAAAACCATATAAATATACCTTATAAGTATTTATGACTGTATTTCATTAGTTGTTTGGTCCACTCAGCTAATAAATACAACGTGAAAGTTTAAAATAGTCTCTGAACATCTTGTTTTATTTTTACCTTATACCACCATCATGTGTTTCTTCCAATTTATTTTTCTTTTCCTTTTCTGCTTTCTCTTCATTACTCACTTCTTTTGAGTCAGATACAACATGTGCATCTGATAAAAGATCATCAGTTTTTGTCAGCTATAAAAAAAATCGACATCATGAAACAAAAAGCTGTAACATACCAAGTGGTAGATAAGAAATACAGCATCAGGAAACAGTTTTATTAACAGACAAATTTTGCCATCATGTATACTTAGTAACTCAGAATTACATAACTTAAGAAATTTTTATCAATACCATTCAGGTTAATAGAGTTATCCTGAAACTTATACCAGAGCCAATGGGCAGGGCTTGGCTTAATAACTTCCAGAATGTATCTGAGCATTTTGGATTGCAGCCTGCCTGTTTTTTCATGCTATCCCTCTCTTCACAGTGCCAACAACGACTCCAGCTACTGGAATATATTGGTGCTGAGCCTGAAAACTGCTCTGAAAGGTCTGGTTAGATACAACCAATATAAGTGTATTACATAATTTTCCCTTAAAAGATCTGCACACTTAACAAAGCAACAGACTCTCAACACAAAGTGTTTTTAAAGAATAACAACAGATGTTAATTATTTTATTTTATATCATTCTCCATCAGACATATGTTTAAAAAAGCTAAATATAAAATAGGAAAACAAAAGGAAAAATGAGTGAGGAAAAGAAAAAGCAAAGGATGATTAATCAAAGAATATTGATATAAAAGAAGAAAAAAGATTCTACACAAGATTAAAAAAAAATAAATTATAAGCAGGATACAATTATGCAGAAACAACTCCAGTAATCTGTTCTTCACAGTCTGGTTTTGCTGAGCGTTGAGGGCACTTCAGTACCAGAAACACTAAGGTAACTCGCTGCCAAGCGAGTCTGGGACTATTTCACGACAGAAATCAATCTGGTGACCAAACAGCACAAACTACAGTTCCTGCCTACTTCCATGTATAAATCGTTGTGCCAGCTTTATTCTGCTTCTTATGAACTATTTGATGCACTAAAGGCAACCAAACAAAAAAGTCAGGTGTATTAAAGGATTGTCGGGTACTACAGTGGGATATCCTAAGCAATGGACAGACCAATGATTATTGTTCAAAGATGCATTAGTATCCATTTTGTTTCCAAAGAAATAGACTGTAATTTTGTGATTTTCCAATCAATCAAGGCAGTAACGGATAAAGTTAAGTAAAATGAATTTTAGGAAGACTATATACAAGAAAATTCAATATCTCAGCTATAGGCAGATCCGATACTATTTCACGCTTCTCTCCAGAGTATCTGTTATATCCAAAAAGTCACCTTAAACTTTCAAGCAAAAGGAACTGGCTCAATTTCCTATACTCTGCTGTCTGTGGCTCAGAGTATTTTTCTACTGCAAGACAGGCTGATGAACAGTTCAATAAAGGGCAGTTTGGTACCTCTTTAGCAAAGCCTGAATTGTGTTCTTGTTCTCCATCATGTTTTAGTTGCACTATTTCTTCTCCAGGACTTTCGTTATTTAGTTTCAAATTATTTTCTTTACTAGTGCTCTCTAATTCCTTCACGTTACCAGATGCAGTATCATCCTTTTTTCGATTCTGTGGAACAAAATTGATACATAGACGTACTCTTAAAAATGTTATCACAGCCTCAGTTCTGAGTCTTGCACTGTCCCCTGACTGTGATAAAAAACATACTTGAAAAAACCTTAAGCATACCACATTGCAATAAGGAAAATGGAAATTGGTAAGCACATAGAATTTTCTCATTTTTGTAGCTTTCAAAACAGTTCACCCTAATATTTTTTTCTCTGTAAGATTACTGTACTTTCTGCGCCATCCCTCTCCTTCCCTCAAATCTCCAGCGTTCCTACTAAGTCACATTTACCTCCTGAAATTCCATTAGCTCAGTCACACACAGGCTTAGCAGCATTCTTATTTGCATTCATAAGCACTGATTTTTTATTTTTAAAAATAGCTTTCTCTGGTTTTAAAAAAAAAGATGGATAAAAATCTGCTCTCAGTACAAAATTCACAGTGCACCTGTGTGCACTTTCTCCAGTTATCTTGGGTGTCTTCCAAGCCTATGCCGTTAACTGATTTAACAGAGGACAACATAGCATCTGACAATGGCAGAGGATATTACTTATTCCGTAAAAAAAATAATCCATTGCACAGAGAATAATTTGATGTAAAAATTTTGAGGAAGGATGGCAGAGGAGATCTGAGATTGTGAACTGTGAACGTTATGCTGGCAGAGTAGCAAACCGAAGTGAAGTGAGGTGCATGTAAGTCTTGTCAAACTAAGTACCAGGGCTGAGAAAAACAGGAGCCATGCAAGCAGTAAATCTAGTGGCTGAATTCCCGTGATTTAGCACAGGCACTCTGTTAAGAGGAAATTCCATGTAAGACAGTTCACAAATCAATCTCTTCCAACTGAAGTATGCATCCATATCATACACTTGTCCCAAACAATAACAATTGTGAAGCAACTTCCTTTCACATTTTGGTAATCACTTAAAAATGACACAGTAGGTTCTTTATAAAATCCTTTTTCTTCTCCAACTCTTAAATAAACAAACTCCAGTTAAAAAGACTTCCAGCAGCTAATGTCATTACACCATTTTTCTGTATAAAAATCAATAGGCATAGAAACTGTGCTTTTAAGAATAAGAGCTATTACTACAGTGTAATGCCTCATCCTGGGGCTTTTTGCCAAATAGCATTCTGAAAGAATTGAAGTTGAGATAGAAAAAGTGACTTTGTAGCCTGGACTACAAGTTAAATATTCAATTCAGACATGTTCTCTCTCATTCTATAAATTTCTTATCCACACAGCAATGATTTCACACCGAAGACCGAAGAACATGCTGACACAAACAAAAATTCTTTTGAGTTCTGTACAGCACGTAGTGCTGGTGCAGAGGATTTGGCCACTTCCCCCACTCTGCTCCCAGTGCACTGGCTGAACAGGTATGACACACAGATGACTGTAGTTCCCTCACCCTGAGGTATGAAATGATCCCATAGGAACGTGGGAGAGCTCAAGCACCTCTGTAAAAACTACAAAAGGAAACATCTGCAAAGCTTTGCTTTGCACGTCCTTTTCCTGGGAAAAGCAGTGTTAATCACAAAAATATTTGTAGGAGTTCCCTTCATATACAGCATTCGTGATGTCATCCCAAATACAGATGCTCTAATGCAAAGGCAAAACTTGAATTCAGTGTCTTCTGGGGTCCAATATTGTGCAAGAAAAGTAACCTTTGCATAGCTCTGATGGTAGTTCAGTATTCTCAGAGAAAAAAAAAAAACAACCAACAAAGCTAAAACTTACTTGGAAATATGTGGCTCCTTAACAGTGCAATGCATTTAATCTGGTTTTGGAAAATCAGACGTTAAAATGCGTACAAAACATAAAAGAAGGCATTTCTGTGCCAGGGGAAAAGAAATAAATATAAAACCCAGTGTGGTCTGAGGAAAAAAGTATGCCAGAAGATTAAAAAAAAAAACAAAACAAAGAAGATAACTTCATTCAGCTATTCAAAAAGAAAACTAATCCTTAGCATTTAGAAAGTAGTAGGCTCTCTAACATCCACTACTCTGAATCTATTCCATATTTTTGTCCTGAAGTAGTGTAGGGTTTGTGTTTGTCAGTTGGGTTTTGGGTTTGTTGTTGTTTGTTTGTTTGTTTTTTTCCCCCTTTTTTGATGTTTATTCAGGATAGTGTTTCCTGGTTGATGACAAGCAGTTATATCTTCCTCCTCTCTCCCCACCCTTAACCATTTAATGAACTCACTTTGCCTTAACTGTTTAAGAATGAGGGAAAACAAAAATGAAGGTTCTATTTCTATGTATTTATGGGCTCAAAAACCACAGCAAAAGAGCACCAGTTAAGAGCTATCACCATAAATATACATTCCTACCTAAAAACGTTACAGATGTTCGAATATATTACACGGCAGAAAAATCTTCATCATTTATAAATCAACTGAATAATGATTCTCCCTGACACTGCTTTTAGTCACAAAGCTTGCAATTTCATGTTGTTTGCTAAATTTGACAAAAAAAACCCGTTATGAACCATCATAATGCATAATCAAACATATGTAGATCTGAACTGCTTTTTTTCCAAAAAGACAAAGAAGTGACTTCCACTATCATCAGGTATAAGCATGATGACTGTCTTCTGCCTTTCGTGTGTGACAGAGAATTGTGACTGTTACTCTACAACAAGCAGTCTCAAACAGACACCTAGAGCATCATTTTGGAAAAAGAACAATTCTGTAACTCTTTTTTTTAAATCGGACACATCAAAAGTTTTTGAATAGCGCGGGACCCACCTGTGCCAGTTTGAATGGATTATCTCTGACAAACGACAGACTCTGTGAAGGAGACTGGTCTGAAACACCAATAATATTGAGTCCTTTTCTCTTCTCTCTAAGGCAAGCTTGTTGGTGTCTCTTTATTCTTTCCATCTGTTCCTCCACAGTCATTCGAGGCCGTGTGCTCTCTGCAAGACACAGCTGCTCCACTGCACTTCTTGGTCTTTCCTTAAATGGAAGAATATATATGTATATATTTGGTTCACAAAGCAAGATTCTAAACTGCTTAGCTTGTCAGAAAAGATCACCAAATGATCTACTGAAAAGCAGAAAAATAGTGGGCAAGTAAAGGTCTCCTATGTACGTGGAGAAAGTACAAGAACTAATTTTAATAAATGAACACCGAAATTCAAAATAAGAGGAAGGAAAAGTTTTCTTCTTCAAACAGTGACATTACCACCATCAATGATAAACATTAAGACAATGAATTGAAATTTAATGATCCAGGACATTTATAACAGTTGATCTAATAGTGATTTTTGCCTTTTTATTTCAAGAAAAACTACAGCTGGACATCATTTAATGGCAAGTGCAGGGTGAAACAAAGTGAATTTACCACCATTTCAAAAATCTGTAATTCTAAGCATTATATTATTCCCAAAATAACAACCATCACTTTACCTACCCTGGTCCTGAAATTCACTGATTTTCAGACAGATCTGTACTTTGTATGACAGAAAAAAAATATACTTCGGGCTAATTAGCTGCATTCAGAGCATTCACAGTAACGAATTTCCCTTCTGAAAGGCGGTATTCTTTCTCCAGTCAACATCCTCTGAGTTCCTCTCTCCTCTCTCATTCTTGCTACAACTTCTCCTTTTACTATGGCAAAAGTGTTCCTTCTTTTTGCATGAACTACATGTAAATGTCTGTCTTCAACCAGGAGACTACAGGACTCTAATCTGAAATTCCAGACTTTTTACCCACATACTGCTTATTGTATCCTCATTTTTTGGCTGCTTTAGATATTTTCCAAATCATCTTAATAACGAAATAAATAAAAGCCAGTATTTGCTATCCAAGGGCTGTTAAATTGCCCAGGAGCCAAACGCAAGTCCTTCAAAGTTTTAACCAAAGATGCTTCATGTCCTTTCAACTGAAGCCTGAACTGCCCAGTCTGAGTGTCTCGATGCAGTTTAACATACATGCCCTTTATAATTTTGTCATTCTTTCTACAGCTGTCTCCATTAAATTAGTATATCATATTTTTATAACAGTGAATCTTTTTGTAAAGAAAATGAAAAAGATAACTACAACTTTTGAAGCAACTACAGAAATTAGACTTGGAAATGAATACATCACTATCCATCAATGCTCAAAGGTTATTTGGAAGTACCGTTCTTAGATCTATTTTCTTATTCTTCCTTAAAGTGACATAGGATGCTATTGTTGAAGACTCTGGTGTTGGTGATTTGGTTCTGGGTGGTACAACTCCCACGGGAAAATGTGAACCTGTGAAATAGTAAAGGAATATACTAAGTGCCAAGCAAAACATTGCCAAAACAGTTTCTTGGTCTCTAGAAAATACATGTTGTCAGTCTTGAAAACTGTTCTTCAAAAGACAGCAAAGCTCTTAATGCCTAACTATGATGTCTGTTAAGGTACACAGGCAGATGACTTTCCCCAAGGGAAACTGCTGCGCATGGCACCAGAAATTCCTGGACATAAAAATATAAACATAAAAATTTTGTTTGTGAGAAACAGACACAAGTTAAATAGCACTGTGTGGAATGGCTAGATTCTAAAGACAGTTAAGGGGGAGTTATGTGAAAGATGGCCAAACTTCATGGACAATTGGATGTCAGTACTGGGAACTTTTCGTGGAATAGAGTTTGCAAGGTCAGCAGAGTGCCTAGGGAACCACATCAGCACGACTTCTTAAGGCCCAGCTTACCTAGATAATGGCATTGAAGACACAAAAGTCAGCAAAAGTGAGACCAACGAACAAAAAGTAATTATGGGTGCATTGCTTATTTGGGAGTAAATAAACGCTGCGAAGGGCCAGGGCAAGGTAGATGGGAAAGCACAGGCACGGAATAATGGAGAGCAGGGGGAATAAAAGGGACTAGGTTTGCATAAACAAGCCATTTGTCAGTAGGCTTGTCTGACCAAGCCCTGTGCCTTGGCATTGCGGTCTGTCCTCTCTTCTTACTGAACTTTATTCTCAAGTATCTTCCATGTGAGTATGCTTTCCCTTCTGTGTATGAGAGTGTGAGAGATGCTAGCTTGCCAGTAGGAGACAGTTACAGAGAGATCATTCATAGGTCTGGGGGACAAAGACAGAAAAGACTGCAGCTTGGCTACCAGGGGGATCGTAAGTCTGGACCTGCCACCAGGGAGAACATTTTGTCTGTGAGATGTTAATGAACTTAAGAGTAGATGGCAAGCAGAGTACAAGGTGTGGGGGCCAGCTATCTGAGAGACTTTAGGTCTAGGATTCAGATACTGGAGAGGCCAGAGGTACTGAGAGTCGACTGATGGAGATACCACAGGTCTGGCCAACTCTTGGAGGGACTCATTTGTGTGTGTGCACACGTGTGTGTTCATGTCTATACGTGTATGAGATCAGCTAGCAAGCTTGGAGCCTGGTTAGCCGGCGAGTGAGACCAGGATCATGCTGTTTGGGTTGTTTCACCTTCATGTGAGTCCTGGTCTTGTTTGTGAGTGTCATGGTTTGATGGGGGGGGGAGGTCCAGGTGGCAGAAGTTGCCCATCAGACCGGACTC